TGAAACAGTTCATTTTCTATTCGATCTTTTAGTCATCTAGCAAATTTTTATCATTACAATTACGATAGTATATATTCGTTTTAGAGAAATGTCGAAGAGAAATTGATGAAAGAAAAATCAAAGAAACAGTATTGTTTCTAGCAGTTCGAGAAACTTCCGTGGAGAAACATTTCACAGAGGAAGCAGAGAACAAAAACGAAACGCAGAGGTACAGATCAAGGCAGGTGAGACAGCTATATGCTATGGAATAGCGCTAAAAAACATCGAACAGCCAGAAATTAAAAACATTGCAGTCATGTTACATGTATATACAAGATAGCTCGATAGCCAATAGTAGCATAATTTCCGCATATTAAATAATTTCAACGAGATTTACAAGAAAAGAGAAAAAGTGACATATTTGTTAATTATACATTTTTATCAATATTTCTTTTCGAAATACTATAATTCAATTATCAATTCGAGATAATGTATATTGATTATAATCATAGAATTATTCAAAACATATGTTATTCTTTCAAATTGTTATTGTTACAATTAAGCACATAATATAAAAATTTAGTTAACTGCATTTAGATATAATTTCTATAAAAATAGTTTTTAAATTACCAATCATCTTTTCATTATATTCTTTAAAAAACGAAAAGAATAACTTTTTATCTATGAATTTATGATCGATAATAATCAACATCAAAGTTACTATTAAAGAAAACTAATGTAGAGAATCAAGAATCGAAAAAAAACATAAAGAAAAACATTAAACATTAAATAATGTATTAAACATCATCCATGTTTTTTCTTCTTCATGTTACGTAAAATTTCCTTGAAATTATTTAGTTTCGATATGTAGTTGTTAATCGTGCTGGTCCTTAATGCATCAAAGCATTGTTATACATCGATATATACACGTTGTATATGTATCACGAGGTACAATCGCAGGGGGGATATATGTACGTAGTACAGTATTCGAGAACATCTAGTCAGCCGAACATCTATAAAAACACCAGATAAAGAGAAAGAAATAGAGATAGAGATATAGAAATAGATACTAGAAGAGAGAAAGACAGACAGCCATCTCACCGCCCGCCACAGCTCAAAGCACTCACGAAATATCACGGGGGAACACGACAAAAAAAGCCACCGTTGTCTTTTTTTCGCGCGAATATTTTACTCTATACTCGGGGATACGTTATAAGCTTTCGTGTTTTTATAACCTAAAAAAGCGATTGCACTGCTCCGTATTGTACGATGTGATGTACCCGGACCGGTGAACGCCGTGGTGCCACCTGACAGACTCCGAGAAATTTGAGAAAACAAGATTTCCTTCGGCCCATGCGCGAGAACTTTAATCGAATTTTAGCTTGCAGTGCCGACAACGGACATGTCTTCGCTTCACTGCACACGGCCCTGCATTCAAAATTCAAATTTTTCCCTCCGCAATATCGAAATCTATCGAACGAGTAGGAAATATCAGTAACTTTTCGAATAACGTTATATTAAATCTTCTTTCTAACATAGTCAATTTTTAAAACAATAAACAATAGACAATAAAACTCTTATTTAAAAAAATAGTTCGCTTGCACGATATGTTTGAAACGCATGACTTATGACGACATTTTCTATAGCGGCGGATATAAAATTTACAATTATTAATTTGATTAGAAAAAACATTTTCTATTCGTTTATAAACTTAATTATTATCTTTCTGTAACGAAAAATGCTTATTAAATTCACTTACCTTCTTTTTTGTTCCAAAAACATTTTATTGATACAAAAAAACTTGTAAGATTAACACTGAATAACATTCTTGCGTGTTAAATGAGCTGTAACTGATTGTTGAGCCATGCAACAAGAAAATTGTACATGATGCGACATCTGCCGACAAATATTTGAACTATTTAAAATGGCTACTTAGACTTTATCTATATTAGAATATATGTCATTAAAATTATATTATATATTAAAATTATATTAGAATTAAATATCATTTAAAAAATTTTTTAATTAATATTATATTATTATATATCATTCATAATTATCAATATCAATGTATATATCAATTATTTTGATATATTATAAGAATAATAATATATTATTAAAATGTGTCTAGTTACTTACTTTTTTAAAAAATATAGTAATATAATTATTTTTTATCCAAAAGATATATATAAGATATATATATATATATATAAATAATAATTATTATTGATTATTATTGATTATTATTGATTATTTATAAAAGATTTAAAAATAATTATATTGATAATATATTGATTATATCGATATTGTTAAGATATTGCGATTTATATATTGAAAAGTTATGACATTTATTATTAATTTGTATATATTATTATAAATATGTATTATTAAATGATGAATATTATTTATTTAAACAAAATAACAATCAAGATTAGCAAAAAAATTTTAGAAAGAGTATAAGAAAATTAATAAATTAATTATTCGATCTGTCACCTGTCATTTATTCTCTAATTTTAATTTAACTAAAATATGAGTATAATGTCATTAATTTATTAATTATATTATTTTTTCTCTTCAATTATTATTTTTTTTTAAAGAAATTTTTATTTATTTAACTATATGTTTCTTTCCAGAAAGAAGTTTTTAACAATTCTGATAAGCAACCAGATGCTATTTCAGATGCTATTTTGCTATTAAAATATTTCCTAAATTTCTATGTAAAGAAATCACTTTTTGTATTTTCACAAATAAAAATAAGATAAAAAAGTTTTAAAAAAAAGTATAAAAAAAGTTATTGACGTAAAAGTTATATATATATATGTATAAATTTCATTAATTTAAAATTATAAAGATTTCTAATAAATATTTGTTTAATATTACGATATCGCCACTATTTGATATTTATTTAATATCACAGTTTTCCTTTTTTCATTTATGTATAGTTAAAGTTGTCAGAAAAATTCTTTTTGTGAGAAGAGTGAGAGAAAATATAATTAATGAATATATAGATATTAATCTCCTTATTTGTTTTCTTTTCATCTCATTTGTCATATAAATTGTAACACTGTTAATTCACTAATTATACTTTTTCCTATTTTTCCACAGGGAATTTGAATTCACTAATTATATTATTTTTTCACACTTTTATTCATAGAGACAATTTTTCTAGCAATCGTATATCTAATATGATACTTCACTATACATTTTATCCTTACTATCCTTACACCTACGCCTGGCAACATGGCATATCACATGGTTTAAGTTCCGCAGAACCGTCAGCTAGTCAGTTTATGATAATGGCTGCGCCAGTAAAAAAACGCGACGTTCAACGAAATTTTGAAGATAGAAGCAGCGACGATGATGATCACAACTCATCAAATAGTGAGGATAATGAGAAGGAATCATTGGAAGAACAAGTAAGAAATTTAAATCAGACAAATCAATGTAAAACGTCATTGGTTAATCTTAACCTTATTTTTGAACACGCGGTCATAGATTTAATTTTGTTTTAAATCATTCTTTATAATCATTGATATTTATTGAGAATGAAATATAATAATTAAATATATTGTACAAAATAAAAAATTTTGCGAAAAACACTTATATGTTTAATTTGATTGATTATAATCAATGAGCTTGTCATTCCATAAAGATATTGTTAAATATTACAATGTTGTGATAAAAACATCTGTGCTAAAAATTACTACTTAAAATTTAACATAAATAAATTTAAAAAATGTAAAAAGAATGGATTATATATTTTTATGTTCTATTCATTTAAGTTATATAAATTTAATATTTAATATTTTAATATTTTATAAATAACTGATTATGATAAAAATATAAAATATTAATAGAATTCTTAAAATATAAAATTTTTTCAATTAGGGAATGGAAATTCAAGTAGATTTTGAAGGAAGAAACCCATTGGATCCAGATTATCATGGCATTAAGACTCTGTTACAACAACTTTTTTTAAAAGCTCATATTGATTTAGGTGGTCTCACAGATTTAATTATTTCTCAAAATTATGTAGGTTCAGTTGTTAAACAATCAGAAGATTTAAATGAGTCAGATGACGAAGATAATGATATTAATGATGTTTTTGGTATTACTACAGTAATTAATTTATCTAGTGGACAAGTAAGTATACTATATATAATATAATGTTATTTACTTAATATGAAAATTATTTATTAATAAGCTAATTTATTTTAGAATTATCCTTGTATACAACAACTTAGGGATTTATTGAGACAATTGGCAAATGAACATGCAACTGATGCAGCAAATAATATGATAAAAGATGTTCTTGAAAATGATTCAGAAGCATTAGGTTTATTAATTAATGAAAGATTTGTCAATATTCCAGCACAAATATCTGTACCACTTTTAGAGAATTTAATCTCTGAGATAAAAAGAGCAAATAATAAAAAAATGCCATTTAACTTTTCATATTATATATTAATATGCAAACTCTATAAAACAGAAGACAAAAAGTTAGAAAAAAAATTGAAACATAAAAAGAAAGATAATACAGAAGAACCAGCTATTCTATGGAGCAATCCAGAAGAAGAAATTTTTGCAGAAGAAGCAACAATAAGTTTTGAATTTTCTGTTGAAAAAGAGTCAGATAGTGGTTTGTCTGGAACATGGACTGAAACTGATGATGAAATGATACCTTACAGAAGAGTTCTTCTGTTCGAAGCTACCAAATTGCAACCAATTATTGACAAAATAAAAAATCATATTTCTTAATCAATATAAAAGACTAACATTAATTCATATTCCTAAAAAAAATCCTTCCTTTGGTGTATTAAAGGAAGGTATACGCTTTTCAAAGATAATTTCTTTGACAATCTATTGTACAATGAACTATTGTATCATACAGTATATGTAATCAGCTTTTTATAATACACCTTTTCATACTGCTTACTGCAATCTGTTTCCCATCACTTATCCGTTAACCCCGTCTTAAAAATATTTGAATTTTTACGAATTAATTACGAATTCACATATCAATTTTATTCAATCGTAAAAAATTTATTGTCTTACTAAATAAATAATATAAACAGTAGAATCAAAACAAATTATTGTTTAAAAAAAATATGTATCGCGATTAATATTTTAACAATAACATGTAACTTGTGCCTGAGAGTTACAAACAAATATTTTTCGCATTACTAACAGCGTCTACTTTTATGTTGGTGAATCTTTTAATAATTGCTTTATTGGTTTAGCTCTTCGTCTCATAGTGCCCAAAATATTTAACATTTCTGAAACTGCTGGTGGTGCGCTTTCCGCTTCTTGTCGTCTTCTTCTTTCCTCTTCTCTTTGCTTCTGCAATAAATCATTTTGTTTGAGAAATATAATTTTTAAATATAAAAATATTTCCAAAAATATAAAAAACTTACATCTGTTTGCTTCAGTGTGAACCGTCCACCTTTTATTTGATTAATAATATCATCGATAGCTGAAATAAATAAAAATTTTGAATTAAATGCACTTAAAGCGATTGAGCAAATTAAAATTTAAGATATAATTACCAGGTTGTTGCGCAACTGTTGGTGTTTTTTTCGTAATTCCAAGCATATTTTCCATATCGGTCACCGCGTTTCGTTCCGAATTCATTTTTTCTTTCGTCAGCAACTTAATCGACGATTGTCCACTGTTGTTGAACATTGGTGGTGGTGGAGGTGGAGGCAAAGGGGGTGGTGGTGGCCTAGAAAGTTTCTCTTCCAGTTCACTGATTTTTGCCTTCAAAGTTTGAACCACTCCTTCCAGAGTTTCCACTGACTTCTCTGCCCTTTCTGCCCTTTGCGTTACAACTTCCAGTTCCGACTCTGCCAGCTTTAACTTTTCCTCTACTATTTCGAATTCGACGTTAGATTCTTTCTCTTCCAATTTCTCTTCTAACATTTGTATTTGAGAGGCATGATTCTGTTGCTCCTCCTCCAATAATCTTTTCAAAGATTCTACTTCTTGAAGAACAGTTAATAATCTTCCATTAGGGTCGTCGCCAACTTCTGCCATGAGAAGTGCACTCTGATGAGCCAGAACATTTCTTTCTTTTTGCACCTGTATCGAAAATGCAATATTTTGTAATAGTGTCATTTAAATTCAATTATGTCTTAAAATGTCTACTTAAGCATCGATCTTACCCTTTCTGCCTCTATCTTCATAATCTTCGCATTCTCCCTCTCACGATCGCATTGCGCTTTCAATGCTTGTACTTCCTCCGCAACCATCTTTGTTACCCTTTCCATATTGTCCTTTTGAACTTTCATCTCGTTTACTTTCTCTTCACCTAGTCGAAAAATTCCATTGTTAAATGGATGAAGTTTTAAGTTTAAATGAAGTTTGAACATATTGAGCATTTTTTAATAGCTATATATAGATATTTTTTTTTTTTTTACATTTTTGCCTGAGAGTTCTTTCCTCGTCCAACTGCGTGGTCAAATGCGTAACCTGTTCTTGAGCTTCAAATTCTTGAAGACGAGCGGAATGCAATTCTGTCTGAAGCCTTGCTATCTCTTTACTTAATTCTGCAAATTATCCACTCTTATAATAATTATAAATAATTGCAATAAAATTGTAAGCTATGATTCTCCATGCATACCTTTCACCGTTTCTCTCAATTGATCGAAATCTTCGAAATTCGAGTCAACTTCATCCGATAACTCAAGATCTAACGAATCTTCCGGATTTGTTTGCAAGAATTTCTGTGTTATAATCTGTGATCTTCTTTTCAATTCGCGATTTTGCCTATACCACTGAAATTCGATGAGTTATATGCACAATCGTATTATATTAATTTCTAGAAATTATGATTTGAAAAATATTAAATAAGATATTAAATAAGAAGTACAATATAGAGTAAGAATTTCACAACATTCACTCTCATTTCATTTTCATTAAAAAAATATCTCTCTTCACTTTGAATTAATTAACTCTTTAACGATGTTCTCACAATTCTTCACAACCACAATTCCAATTCTCGATTGTCTTCATTCCCAGTCACGTTATACAAAAAAAATATCATACGAATATATATTTGTTGCACGTGTATTCCAAATTTTCACACGATATGGGTCTTAAATCTACATCTTCTCAATGATATCTCAATTACACGTTACTCTCTTGAATTCTATCATTCATTTAATTATAAAAAAGAAATGTGAAAGGTTACCTGTGACGCTTGTTGCATAGCTTTATGCATAGCACCAGTTTCAACGTCATATTGATGCTTCAATTGCTCGTACTCTTTGCACACTGCTTCAGACACTGAAAGAAAATTTATAAATTCGTCAAAATTTGAAAATCTTAAACACGTTCGTAGAAATTATCTATATAATTATAACTACCTGTTCGTAATTTCTGAAGTTTCTGTTCCTTTTCCTGAACTTGCGACTGCAAAGTACCATTTTGTCTCTGCAATTGTTGATATTTTTTCTCCAAGTCCGCATATTCCTTACTTGCTGCGATGAGAAAAGTATTTTTTTCAATAGGAAGTTCATATATTGCGCTCACGAATATAAATCACGGGGCCCTGACTATAAGTTTATTTTATTTCATTTAATTTATAATTCTACCGCGTATGACCAGTGAGTAAGAAAACGTCACAGAATTCGTTTTGCATGCAAGAGTGAATCACAACCGAATAATAATTAAGTTGCATTACAGATGATTGGCCATGAACTACAATCACGCATTAACCACTTCCCTCTCGCTATATATATATACAATTGTTCTTATTTTACGTGATCCATCTCATCCATTCTTTCTTGCAATAATAAATAAATCAATTTCCAAGTTTCTATACAATCGAAATCGAGAATAAAAGAGAAAAGGTCGCGCCGACATGTATGACTTTTCATTTTAATTCAAAGGAAAAAAAGAAGAAGAAGGAAGGAATATAAAACTTCGTAAAAGATGGATCGAAAGAAAGTTGTTGAAATACAGTTAGCTCTATATTTACCAATCTCTCTCTCCTATCCCAGTCGTTATAATCAAATTAATGCTCGAAAGCGGAGGGAAGAAACCGTGTTTCGTCACTTCGTTAATGATGACTAATGGAATCATAATAAAGTTCCCTAACGACTTTAGGCGGCCCCATACAAACACTCATTACGCCACGAAACTTATTACTAATTATTAATTACCGGCCTCGCTCTTCTGTAGCAACAATTTCCTCCTCTTCTCCGACTCCTCGTATTTGTTCTTCCACTTGCTCTCCAGGCTATTGCTCCTGTTCAATTTCACGACACCGACCATCTCATTCGTCTTGCTGTTAACACCAGTCTGGGAGGAGAGTTTCTCAGCCGAGTTTCGCATCTCGATACTCGAGCTCGACAAATTATTGTTCCTCCAACGTTGCTGTTGAACGGAGGCGTCGAGCTTCTCGAAGGACGCCCTTTGAGCGGCAACAGACACTCCTCGGGACAGCTTTTCGAAGGACCCTCTACGGGACGGGGGGCACCTTTCTTGAGCTTTAATTGCATTCGATATCCTCGGCACAGGAATGTGTGAGTGAATTACGCTCGAGGATGTCCTCGCCGGCTCGGCGCTTAAGACGATGTTCAGTTCCGTTTTATTCATGTCGTATATATTCTGCGAACAAGGGATATATCTGCTTTCACTCGCCTCTCGTCTTTTCGACGATCAACCGGAATCGATACGGATAGACACGAAATAACTGTTAATTCGAATCGATAATATATTACAATAACATTCATTATAAGCTTGGAATATTTAATCTTATATATATATATGTGAGAGAGATATTCATTTCATTTTCTTTTTGCCGACGATTATAGAGAATGACAATTAACGAAAGAGAGATTTACGACTGTGTATCGTGTGATATCACTCTTTTCGCTAGATTCAAGTGGAATTCCTCTAGTGATGGAGGGAGGAGGGATATATAACTCGATATATCCACAAGGAATGAACGAGCGATAAAGAATAAATTCATCACGAAGAAAATACTTTATATATACGAACATACGTATGGATTGTGAAACGATATTTCTATATTGAAGTGTACTCAAACAGTAGAGGGTTAATAACATCGTTTTCTAAAAATACACCGGTATTGGTCGCACCCCCTGTAGCCACAAGCCGCGTTAGAAATAGCCGCTCTGTCAAAATGTATTCGTGACTAATCTCGATTCCACGAATCGCAAAGTACCCGGTGTGGGAAGATAAGGTGCTTTCCGAACCGCCACGCGAACTTACCGGGAAATGATAAATGTCTTACGTCCGGCGAATCCTGAATCAAGTTACCGGTAATTGTAAAGTCAGTTGCTTTG